GGACATCATGTTTGGGAGAGTGGAGAGACGGCACAGGAGAGGAAGACCCTCCATGAGACGGACTGATTCTGTGAGTGGAGTGGTGGGAATAAATGTGTTTGAGACAGCGATGTTGGCACAGCATAGAACGGTGTTTAGGGCTCTTGTACATAGGGTCGCTATGAGTCACAAATGACTCGATGGCACATAACAACAACAAACCAAATCAACAACAAAGTATAATGAGAATGTACTCACAGAGGGAAAGGAAGATAAATAATAAGAGTTTCAGGAACCAGGAAGAGAGAAATAAAACGCTATAAGGAGAGAGTAAACTGTGCTGAAGGCTTATAGGGCAGTGAAATACTTTTTGTCTCTTCTAGACCTGGTCTTTATAATTTCTATCAAATGACCGGGTTTCAAAAAAACCCAACCAACTAAAAGCAATGCTGTTGAGCTGATTGTGATTCACAGTGACCCTTATCAGGCCTCCAAGGCTATAAACCTTGTCACATTGCATGCCTCGAAGACTTGAATCATAGATCTTTTAATTAGCACCCAGCATGTAACTACTAAGCCACCAAGGATCCTTAATGACAGAGTTATTGTTGTTATAACTTATACAAACTGTACGTTGTCCAATCCACAGAAACTCTATGAAGAGAGCTGGATCTTGTCCTGTCCTGTGCCATCCTCATCTCTGACACACTTGAGCCCATTTCTGCAGTCACTGTGTCAATCCATCTCACTAAGGGCCTTTTATCTTTTGCTGATCCTTCATCTTCCCAAGCATGATGTCCCTTTCCCAGGAACAGTCTCTCCTAGCGACATGTCTAAAGTATGAGAGATGATGTTTCACCATCCTTGCTTCTAAGGAGCACTCTAGCTGCAGTTTTTCTAAGACTTAATTGTTGGTTCATTTGGCAGTTCATTCAGTACTCCAACACCGCATCTCAAAACACATCAATTATTCTTCTGTCAAGTGTTGATGACTCACCAAGAAGACTGACAGATTGCTAATAAAATAATGGGCAGGGCATCAGCATGGGGTTGGAAGATTTAAACAGCATATATAGAACATTAAGGTGAAGGTTGAAAAATTAAGCCAATCTGTTTTAAATCATCCAATGAGACATCTCTATAGATTCTAAGAGGGGATTTCACTTTCATCAAGAAATAGCCAGAAAAAAAAAGAAAACCACAATGTCTTGCAGAGATAGCAAGAGACAGTGACAAGCAGCAACAAAGAAATGTCAGAAGGAGATGAGGCAAAACCAGGAGATGGATTTGAGACAATGTGGTGGCTTCCAGCACATGGAACAAGAAAGCTGAGCAGTGGACTGAGATGCTGCTAGGCATTTACTCGGGGGAGCCAGGTGTGCTCACACAAGGAGCCATGTATGGGAGTGGAATGTTTCAGGACAATTAACCAGTAAAGCTAAATGAACTTTGTTAATTCTTGTCTCAACAGAGTAGAAGCCAAGGCTGCAAGTCCAAAGGCTAGAGAGAGGCTTTTCCTTGCCCACAGCTTAAAGGAGCCAGTAGTCCTGACTGAAGAGCTGTATCCGGATGCTGAATTGTAATATTACTTCCCTAATAAACACCATAAATGCAAGTACGATCTATAAATTCTATACAACCATTAGAGAAAGGTGGCATACTGTAGGAAGTTACAATGATGACCCAAAATTGGCACCTTTCTGGTGGTTTGACTCCACCAGCCATAAGGGGTAAAGATAAGCAATCTCCTCCCCTGCAATGTACAGCCTCAGAAATCCACTAGGGGCATCACCTATGAAATTGTTCCACCTAGATGGCAATGAGATTGAAAGAAAGAGATAAAGAGATCTGGCCATTGCAATAAATTATCAAAGTCAGCAGAAAAGTGCAGAAAGTTGGTGCCAGAATTGAGAGGCAGATTTGGAGTGGAGCAGAGGCATGTATGATCTCATATCCCACACCATGTTTACACATGCCAAATAATAATTGAAACATGAGAAATATTAATTCCAGAAAACTGAACAAGACTTTCTAATAACTATCTGAAAAACATGGTTATAATCTACATCTGGTATAACAAGCAGACATTCTAATCTAACAGGCTAGAACAATTTTATCCTACATGTGTCATTACCTGGTCTTGCAAATACTCATCCACAGCACCACCATGTCGAAGATTTGCTAACAGTATTTCAGCAGCTTCAATTCCAACTTTGTCAGCATTTACACCTAGTAGAAGAACAATGAAAAGAAACCTAAATTAAAAAGTAAAAGTTTAATTAATGTATCACAGTTAAGAGAAGCATAGCACACACCAATGTTTATTGTGGCTTTGTTCACAATAGCAAAAGAGTTAGAAACAACCCAAGTGCTCATCAACAAACGAATGGATAGAGAAGCTGTGGTATATTCACACAATGGAATACTATGCTGAATTGAAAAACAAGAAACTCATGCAATATTATTCAAAATGGGTGACCCTGGAGGACATTATGCTGAGTGAAATATCTCAGTCACAAAAGGACAAATACTGTGTGGTGCCACTGTTGTAAAACAGGACTGACCTTGGGGTTGGGGGGAGACTGAGAAAGATGGGTTCAGTAATGTATACTGCATTGAAACAGATGAGGAAGAAAACTGTTTAAAAGGGATATGTGATTAGGTATTTTTGTCATGACAGGAGTGCAGAGCAAGCACGGTGGAGTGGACCTGGGGGAGGGTTTGTAAAACAATGAAAGAATTTTTCTTTTACTTTTCCAAGAGGGTAGTCTTCTGGGGGTAGAGGGTTGGGAGGGGAGAAAAGTGCAACAATGAAGGAATGGAAATTCAAAGTCTCTGTAAATTTTCATTGAAATAAATAATAAATTTTAGAAAAAAGAGAAGCATAACATTTTTAAACCTCTAGAATTACTCAGTGCATACTTTAAAATAAGCTCTTTAATTAACTTAATCTTCTGAAAATGTGCTATATGCAAATACTTTATATCTATACATACAATGTACCCACTGCCAGCAAGTCAATTCTGATTCACAGCAAATGCTCCACTGGGTTTCTGAAGCTAGAAATCTTTATGGGAGAAGACTGCCTAGCTTGCTACCATAGAGAAGCTGGGGGGTCTGAACTGCTGAGCTCTCAGTTAGTACTGCAGCATATACCCTCCACCATCAGGGCTCCTTTATATAAACAGTAAAAGAAGGTAATCTGCTACTTTGGCCATGCTTTAAAAAAAGTAGTATTTTATTTTTCAAACTTATGATTTTTTTTAATTGCAGAAAAGAGCAGGAGGGAGGAATATCTGCAACAATGAATAAATGAAAACCCAGCCACTCTGTAAACCTTCATTTGAAAAAAAAAAGTAATTTTAAAAGCAAGCTTAAACCAAGTCGTACTTGTTGACTGTTGTCGAGTTGAGCATGACTCATCACAATCCTATGAACAAAAGGCCTGAAGCCTTTCCATAACTAGAGTCATTTATCAAAGTTCATAAAGTTTCAGAGCCATGTTGTTTAGGAAGTGGATGCCACTCTTGCTTCCAATAAACCAAGTTATAACCCTAAAATACTATTTTTCATCTAAAAATTTAACACTTGTGATTTATACAAGTTATAATTAATCTCTAGATACTACTACTGGAATTAAATTTTTTTTAAAAATCAGAAACTAGTTAAGTCTAACATAAGAAAGAATAGATAAAAAATTTCAGATCAAATATTTTTTTTAAATTTTGTTTTCTTTTTTTGTGTGTGTTTATGGTCAAATTGGATCTGACTGGTACAGGAGGAGACTGCCCCTCCTTCTCCAGCAGAGTGTCTGGTGGATTCGAACCACAGATCAAATATATTTTAAAGGATTTTTCTTTTAGGATTTTAAAATAGAAGTCAGAATATATAATAATATATTATATATAATTATATAATATATAATAATATATATTTAAAAATATAAGTCAGAATATGCATTTACATTCCCTATCTCCTTCCCCTCACATACTTCAAATCTCTGAAAAATGCTGAGTACAAAGTAAGTGTCAAAGTAAATGTCAGAAGTGACAGAAATTTCAAAGGATTCTTTTAAGGTATTTACTTTAGGTTAAAAGGAGTCCTTATCTACAAATGAAAATTACATTTATAGAATCAGAATGCCATGAAATGTTATTTCAATTTGTTATTTGGAAACTCTTCATATATTTATCATCTTGATCAAATTTCCCAGAAAAGTATAAAATTCAAAATTATATTTTTTTTTATTGCTGTCATTACACTAGGTGTAATTACACTAAGTACTGTCATTACATTCAGATATATTAAGTCATCGGTTCTGACTCACAACAACCCCACATACAACAAACACTTCCCAGTTCTGCACCCTCCTCACAATCACCGAGATGGCCCAGCCCACTGTCATAATTCCTCTGTCAATCCTTTTGCTTGAGGACCGACCTCTTTTTTTGCTGGCATTCTACTTTACCACCAATCATTATGATTATAAAATAAATTTATCATTTTTACAACATAAATCACTCAAATATTTATTATGGAAAGAAAAGGCTTGAACTGTGTAATATAAACACTAGCGCCTCGGGTAATACTATTTAGTCTTTTTAGTTTCAACATCATGCTAAGATTGTAAAATGGTACAACCACTCTGGCAGGCAGTTGGCATTTCCTCAAAAACACAGAACTTCCAAAATGACCCAGCTATCCCACTGCTAGGACAATTCCCCGGGAAAAAGAGAACTGAGACACAAACAGATTTGTATATTCATGCTCATAGTAGTGTTATTCATAAAGCAAAAAATGGAAATGGTCCAAATGTACATCAAAAATGAAAGGAGAAACTGTGGTACATTCACATGGTGGAATACTATGCAACACTGAGCAGCAACAACTTTGAAAAATATTATATAAGAAGGGAGAGGTTAAAGAACATTACACTGAGTGAACTAACTCAGTCTCATAAGGACAAATACTGCATAAGACCAATATTGTAAAAACAGACGTATAACTAGTAAGATGTGTATAAAAGTCCAAAGAGGAGAGGGGAGGGGGGCTGAAGGTGGGCAAGGGGTCGCAGAGTTTGGTGGATGAAGGGAAGGATCAAGGAATTAGGAAAGATCCAGTGAGGAAATAAATGATGGGGTAATAGTGGGCATGGACCAATGGTGATTCATTTTATAAAACGCAATGTATAGGCATGATCATATGAAACACAGTATGAATGAAAGAATGTGTAAAGTACAATGAATATGAACCAAACAAAATGCAAAAGAATTTGGTATGTAAACCAATATAAAATAAAAAGAATATTTTTTAAAGTTCCATATATTACAGAATTAGATGGTTAAGTGCTAAGCTCTGCTTTATTAACTAAAGGAGAAGTCAAGGAATGAAAACACCATGTCTTATAATAATTTGAAAAGGATTAGTGGAACATGACAGACTTAAGCAAGGCTTTGAAAAATGGCTAATATTTAGATGGGGAATGTAGAGAAGAAAAGAACTCCTAACTTTTCATTACTAGAGAACAGTACTCACTAAATCTTTATGACCAAGTAGTCAAGTATTTCTCAGAGTTAGCCATATTCCCTCCCATCTAGCTACCTTGATGATAATAATAATATGACTTCTTGTTAGGTATTGTCAAGTCAAATAGAACTCATAGTGACCCTATGTACAACAGATATGAAACTTCCTTTTCCTGTGCCATCCTCATCATCTCTGACATACTTGAATCTACAGCTACAGTCACTGTATCACTCTATCTCATTACGAGTCTTTCTCTCTTTTGCTCTCTACATTTCCAAGATGTTCTCTTTTTCCAAGGAATAGCTCCTACTAACAATATGCCTAAAACATGTGAGATGAGATACACCATCTTTGCCTCTAAGGAGCACTCTAGTCTCCAAGACATATTTGTTTGTTCTTTTGATAGTCCATAGGATAGTCAGTAGTATTCTCCAAAACCACAGCCCAAAGGCATCATTTCTTCTTCTGTCATCCTTACTCCCTATCCAACTCTCAGGTGCATAGCAAGAGATTAACAAGATCATGGATTGAATCAGATTCACCTTAGTCTTTAAACTTATATAATCACTCTTTAGCACTCTGGCAAGGTCCTGGATAACAGAATTTCTCAATGCAATACATCTTTTGATTTTTTGACTGTTGGTATCCAGGATGTTGACTGTGGAACTTCTATCTTTTCTCCATCTATCATAATGTTGCCTATAAGCCCAATGGAGAGGATATTTGTTTTCTGGATGCTGAGATGCAATCCATACTGGAGGCTATAGTTCTTGATCTTCTGCAGCAAGTGCCTCTGTTCCTCCTCAGTTTCAGCAAGCAAAGTTATATCATCTGCATAATGCAGGTTATTGATGAGTCTTCTCCCAATCCTGATGCCACATTCTTCTTCCGAGTACAGTTTCTAGAATGATTTGCTCGGTGTACAGACTGAATAGGTATGGAAAAAGGATACAACCTTGATGCACACCTTTCCTGGTTTTAAACTGTACAGTGTTCCCTTGCTCTGTTCCAACAACAGTTTCGTGGTCTAGGTATAGGTTTCATATGAGCATAATTAAGTGTTCTGCAATTCCCATTCTTCTCATTGTCAGCAATAGTTTGTTATGATCCACACAGTCAAATGCCTTTACATAGTCAAAAAGCTTAAAGAAACATTCTTCTAGTATTTTCCTGCTTTCAGCTACAATCCACCTGACATCAGCAATGACATCTTTGGTGCCACGGCCTCTTCTAAATTCAGCTTGAACTTGTGGCAGTTCTTTCTCAATATACAGTTCTAGGTGTTTTTTGAATGATCTTTAGCAAGAGCAAGATTTCGCTTGTATGTGATAGTAATGGTACTGTTCAATAATTATCACCATGTTCTATTAGATCTCCTTTCTTGAGAATTAGACCAAATACAAATCTCTTCCAGTCAGTTGGCCAGGTAGCTATCATCTAAATTTCCTGGCCCAGACTGGTAAGCATGTCCAAGGCTGGCTGTTAAAATAATATGATTAGATATATAGTATTGCAATTACCTGCAGTCTGTGGTAGCTGAAAAGAACTATGTAAATGTAAGAATTTTGCTTATTAGTAGTATACTCTATATGAAAAATCAAAACCCTCATTTCTTCTGAAAGTTTTTTCTTGCATGTTCACTACAAATATTTATTTAAAATAGGTAACTTCAGTTTTTAATATTTTTAGCAGTCATATACACT